CCCACAAAACAAAAGGTCACTGGTTCAATTCCTAGTCAGGGCACATACCTGGGTTGCAAATTCTGTCCCAGGTTGGGGTGAGGACAAGGGGCAACCGATCGATGTTTCTCACATTGCTGTTTCTCTCTCTCTCTTTCTCCCTCCCTTCCCTTCACTCTAAAAATAAGTAAATAAAATCTTCTAAAAAAAGTTGAGGTAGATCCTCTCTAGAACTGAGATCTGAGCAGAATAGCTTCATGGGTGCCATTGGCTTCTTTATCAGGTGTATGCATTACAAGTATCTTCTTCCAGTATGTGGCTTGCCTTTTCATTTTCTTAGTGGCATTTTTTAATTTTATCTATCTTTTCTTTTGTTCTTTTATCTATCCAATTTATCTATCCAATTTATCTATCTTTTGTTTTCGTTCTTTATGTAATGTTGAAGAAGTCTTTGTCTATCCCAATTTTATGAAGGTTTTCTCCTATAAGTTTTATTATTGTACTTTTAACATTTATGTCTATGATTTATTTTAAATAATATTTTGGATATGGGATAAGGTTAAGGTCAAGTTTCATTATTTTCCATACAGATGACAAATTTGTCCCAGTACCAGTTAATGAAAAGACCTTCTTTTCCCACAGAAAACTATAGTGGAGACTGTTATAAACAAGTGACTGCTATGAACAGGGGTCTGATTCTGGAGTTACTCATTCAGCCCATTTTTATATTTGTCTAAATTTGTGCCAATATCATACTATCTTAATTTCAGTACTTTTTAAACAATTTGAATATCTGGTAATGTACATTCTCCAGCTTTATTCTCCAATATTGGTTTGGCTATTCTATGACCTCAGCTTTTCCACATACATTTAAGAGTCACCTTGTCAATTCCAACAAAAAAAATATACTGGGGTTTCAACTGGGATTCATTAAATCTATAGATTAATTTAGGGGGAACTAATATTTTTAGCAATACTGAGCCTTTCAATCCATAAATACAGCATGTCTCTGGGGAGAAGCATTCTAGGCAGAGTGGAAAGCATGAACAAGGGCAGAGAAAGAAGAAACAGCATGGCTTCTGATATGTAAGAAGCTATGAAGAAGCAGTTCAATGAGGTGTAAAGTGCAAGCTTGGCATGTAGATGAGGCTGAAGAAAGAGGCAGAGGCCAGATTATGCAGGAAGTTGTCAGCCACATCCAAAAGTTTGGATCTAAGGCTGATGGATGGTTTTAAAGCATGTGAGTATTCTGATCTGATGTGCATTCATACAGAGGACTCAATCAGCAAAGGGTCTGAGCAGGTTTGAATGGCTTTCAAAGGGGACAAAAGTGTAAACAGGCACAATAGGAGACCATTCCAGTAGTTAAGGTGAAATATGGTAATGATTTGAACAAGGACAGTGGTAATCAAGATGGAAAAGAAAGGGGTTCATATTTGATTGGTAAAACCAGTACAACTTGGTAACTGGATGTTGTAGGATTGGTAGTGGTGGTGACAGCAAGAGTCAAAAGTGGCTCCTAATTTTCTAACCTGTTTATGGATAGATGGCGGTATAAGGAGTACGGGAGTAAGAGTAAACTTGGGAGAGATGTTGAGTTTGAGATGTCTGTGAGTTTCCCCATGGAGGTGTATAGCAGATAATTGGATATATAGGTCTGAAGCCCAGGGAAAAGACGCAGGCTGGATATATGGTCCTGTGACCATGGGTCAACCATGAGAATGGATGAGATTACTCAAGGAGTGCACGTGGGTTGAGAGGTATTATGCATCCTTCCCTCATATTCCCATTTGGATTTAAATTTTTCTAGTTCTTTGTCTTCTTTTTCATAAAAATGCCCATTGATATCCCCTGGGTTAAAAACCATATAAGAAATACTATTTACTGGTCTGACATTACATTTATGACCACAAGTTTGAAATGGATATTCAGTACAGCCAGATATACCTTATAAAGTTCCATTCTCCTAGACCATGTTTTCAGTTTCTCTTCTTCCTTGAAACTTCCATTCCCTCATTGCTCTCCACTCTCAGTTAAACTTTACATCATCATACTTTGCTATAAAAAAGGGGGTCAATTTGACTGATTACCTTATTTTCATACCATCAGGTCTACCAGGTTCTCTGCAACTGCTCTGTCCTCCTTCTTATAACCATATAAGAGTCCCCATTCCAATCTATAGCCAGACCCTAACCTGTGCTTTGGTTTCTTTCCCTTCCTCACATATTACCCTCTTCCTCATTATCATCATCCATTTACTATTGAGTAAGTCTCATTTTTATACAAACATGCTTTAATGTCACCCTCTATAAATAAAACAAAACTTCGGGGCCAGAGACTGCTAATGCTCACTGATAATACATCTTTTTCTCTTCTTCCTTCCTAAATTACATTTCTCAAGTTATATTTTTCAGCCCCCTTGTGGAGGCCATATGGAAAGTAGATTGTGGCCAGAAGTAATGTATTCCACTTTCAGACGTGGCCCATAAAAATCTCCCATTTGTGATTCTCTACTCGCTTTTCTTTTCCAAGGTGACTTTGGTGGCTACATGTTGGTGCTGCAAGCTTGTGAGAACCCAGATCCCTGGGTTATTCTTAGAAGAAAGCCACTCAACTCACTTCGGATTGTGACTCAAATGATAAACTTTACTTATGTTAAACTGTTGAGATTGCAGTTGTCAGTGATAGCTCTTAGCCTAATATAACTCTACATCCCCCTCCAGCTATTGCCCCATTTGTTTCCTTCACATTCTTTGAAGAGTTGTCTAGACTCATGGTTTCTATCATTCTCTTCTCAACCTCCTTAATTTCACCTTCATCCCCACCATTCCACTGACATGCCTCTTATCAAGTCATTAATGACCTCCAAGTTGCCAAATCCAAGCTCATATCCTCATTCTCATCTTCTTCAGTTTCTCGGCATCATTTAACACAGCTGACCACTTTCATTCTTTTTGAAACACTCTCTGGGACACCACAGTCTATTGGTCTTCCTCCTACTTCACTGGCAGCTCCTTTTTCTCTACCAGTTCCCTAAGATTACGAGGATCTTAGGGCTCTTTTTAACATTTTTTTGTCTCTCCCCGCACTCTTTAAGTGAAGTGCTGCTAACTCCCAAATCTTTATTTCTAGCCCAGTCCTCTCCCATTTGCTTTAGTTCTGCACATTCGACTGCCTACTGGAATATCTAATAGGCATCTGTAAAGTGTTCAAAACACAACTCCTGATTTTCCCTCTCAAACCTTCTCACCTTTCTCTTCCTTTTTACCTGGTTGCTCACACTAAATATATGGAAGTTTCCAATTCCTTCCCCCCCCCCCCACTTACATCCAATCCACCACCGAGTATTTCTGTCTCTGTCACCAAAATATCTTACTAAATCTGACCACTTTTTACCATCTCTGCAAAAACACTGGTAGAAACAAACCACTTTTACTTTCTCACGCTACGTACACCAACAATCTAACTGCTTTGCCTTCACCCTTGCCTCTAGTGTATGCTAACCGTTTAGCACATCAGCCAGAATAAACATCTCAAAATACAATAAGTCAATGAAACACTTAAACTCTACATAGCTTTCTGTATGAAGTTGGAATAAAATCCATCCTCCTCACCAAGTGAGATTTTCAATCTCTTTAGTGCACTACATACAGTATGGTTTAATGCTTATTCAATCATTTCATTCTTTTTTACTTTTCTACATTTTTTGTAAAGGATATTTTGATGTTAGTAGATTTTAGGTTTTTTCCCCCAACTGGATCCTCCAGTTTCAGCACTAGCATGGCAGACTGATTCCCTATTTCCCCTCCTTATTTTAGAAAGCAAGGGACAGTGGAAAGAGCATGGAACTTTGGAATCACACAACCCTGTTTAAGCTGAACTTTTCTTTTCATCAGCATTCTGAAATAGGAATTTAACTTCTCTGAAGTATAACTTAACTTCTCTAAATCCCGATTATCTCATCTATAAAAAAAGGATAACAATACATTATAAATGAGGTAAATGAACTGACAGATAGTAGGTTCTTAGCACATGACGGGAACAAAGTTATACTAGATTCCTTTAACACACTAAACGTTCTTTCCCATTCACCCTTTCTTCCTGGGTAGCTCGGTCAAATGCCAGGATAGGGTACACTCCACTAATCTTGAGCACACTGCAAAACGATGCAACGAACTCACAGTGTGGACCTTGAGTTTAATGAGCTTTACTAAGTAGTAAAGTTAACTGAGCCTTCGCAGTTTAGCTATCAAGAGGGAAAATAAGACTGCAGGGGTCCCCCTGTGCAAATACATGAAATACAAATGACTACTGGTGTCAGCCGTGGCCGCACTTCCCCTACAGGGCGCACTGGTGACCCGACGGCGCGGGGGCGAAAATTTGCATATGCAAAATCCGGAAGAAGGGGAACCACCCAACGAAAACCCCGGGCTTTACTATCCGGCCGGCCCCACTAAGCCGCCCGACCTGCCCCCAAGGGCTCCCGGGCGGCCGGCCCTCTCGAAGCCACTGCACCCTCCTACTCGCTCCTGAACTTTTAAACCGCGCTCAGAAGAACAACCTGGAGGAGGGGGATTTCTCAGGAGCCGGCGTCTTTCGCACGCTCAGGACCGTCACCTGCCGGCTCCCAGTGTTCCCTGCGATCCCGAAGATGCCCCACACGACCACCCCAGACCTGGGCCTGAGCCCACCCCAGCTCCCCAGGTGCTAGCGTGGGCGGGGCACGGGAGGGGCGGAGCGTGGGCCGTCAGGCAGACGGGCGCGCGCCGCGAGACCATTCCGTCCTTGCGCCCCCGGGGAAGGCAGTGGCAAGTAGCCTACGTCAGCCGTGGGAAATCCCCTCACCGCGCGTTACGCTAGTGGTGATTGCGTTTGGCTCCTGTGGCGCTCCGCCCCCTTCCCCTGGCTCCTGTGCCTAGGACTAGCGACGCGGGGCGTTTTGGGGCGCGACAACTAAAGGGGTGGGAAGCTGTGATCGGCAAAGCAGAGGAGGGCAGGAAGGAGGAGGAGGCTCCGGGGGGTGGTCTGAGGGACAGGGGGTCCCGCAGGCAGAAGACTGACTGGCGGGCTAACTGACTGCGGCGGCCTCCGGTCCGGACGCGCGGAGCGGAGCCATGGCCTCCGGTGAGTGTTCCTGGCGCCGCGGGCTAGTCCCAGACTTGGGGGAAGGAGCTCGTCCCGGGGTCTTGCTGCTTAGTTTCGTTGGCTCAGTTCTGACTGTGGCGCATTCTGTCTTTAAAATGGCCTGATCTGGCAAATTGTCAACCTCGTAAAAAGTGGTTTGCGTGCGAAATCAAAGCCACGCTCTGTAATTTGATACCATGATAATAGCCGGAAATTTAGAAATTCCCAACTAGGTTTTGGGATTAGGAAAGTGATCTACATAAAGGGAGGCGAGGAGTTCTTGTATTGAAAAATCGATTTATATTAAAATGGTGGTTTTCTGTTTTAGACCAGGAATGAGGAACCTCAGTCCTCAGGAGAGCTCTGCTTTTTTTAGTTGAATTGCTAAGTGGTGATCGCTGTTGTGCTGACAGTTGTACACAATGTGTGCCTTTAAAAATCACGAGTGGTAGTTTAACAGAGCTTAAGTGAAAATGTTCCTTCACCGAAGTGGATAATTTTTACTGTACGTTCTAGTTTACGGAGAAATCGGGTTTTGTTTTTTCGTTTGTTTTTTCCTTTGTTGGAAAGAATGGAAAAGAGGATTTTTAGAATATCCGTGCTTTAAAATATGGGTAGGAATGAAAACAACTTTGTTTCACTTATGAAAATACTCATTTTCAGTTAATAAGTGCGTGAGTCTCTTGAGGGAAAACGTTTGCCAAGACAGTTCAGAGGGCAAGGGAGGGAGTCTCGAATTTACAGCCATGGTTTATTTTAGGTCAGCCTGTACCGAAGGAAAGTAAATCGAGTAGACTGAGTTCCAGTTGGACCATTTCAGGATTCTGGTTCGGCTCCTAGGGGCGCGTCTCCGACTGAGGGGGCAGCGTGAGCAAAGGCAGAGAGGCTTAAAGGTTTGTGGTCAACGCTTTACTAGCAGGCTAAAGAGGGACTCTTGTTTATGCTTGACCCTCCTCCCCAGTCCCTGGGACAGTGACCCCCAGTAGAAGGCTGATGATGTCTGGTAGAGAAGAGGAAGTTGAAAGCTTAGAGGAGTTTTTAGAGAGGTTGAGAAGAGTAGTGCCATCCCTAGCTACTGCTGTAGGCTAAAAAGGAAATTGGGGTAATGACATTTGATTTCAGTTTGTGGTTTTCATGTGAGACTACAAGTGGAGTTTAAACAACTTCAACTTTCTCTTTATCCACTTCACTGACCCCCCCCAAACTTTTAGATAATCTTGAAAATTCATAAGTTCAAAGCGCATTTAGATTAAAAGTGCAAAGTAGACTTGAAATAACAAGTTAACTTGTTGGTGATGAAATCTTGTATGAAAGTAGTAGAGAATGGTGAGCATTGTAAGTTTAAAAAAGGTCAACCTTCTGGCAATTGAATCAAACTTTATTAGTATCTAGTATGAATATGATACTTCTAATTCTTTAAAAAGACAGAAAAGAATTAACTATTTATAGAGTATTGTAAGACCCACATCGTTTAAAAATATGATGAAATTTAAACTTATTTAATGACACTATATTTTGTGCTGTTGTGAGGGCTGATTCTTTAATTAGAAGGGGAAAATTTTTTAAGGAATGAGAAGTTGTGAATTATCGCGAAGTATTTAAATTGTATTTCAGTTGTTTGAAAACTACTAAGCAAATGTTTAAAACAGAGTCTGGGTGTACTTTCCTTAATCAGTTGTAAACTCTAGAAAAAGAGTCACTAAATTATAAATTCCCATTCTGTTTTCATACAGTAATTTAACTGAGACACAGAAAAAAAAAGTGTGTTAAATTAGTTTATCATTGTCTCATTTAGATTCTGTTAATAGTAAAGTAGTAGTAAAACCTCAAAAGGTATTTTTATTGATTAACAAGCCTTTAAGACTATTTCTTCACTTCTCCCCGGATGTCATATGTAAATAAGTATGTGTAGTTGAATATGTGATCTGTATAACGTAAAAAGTAACATCATAATCTCATAAGCAAATTATATAAGTACCATTAGTAACTGGAACTTTGACACATGTATTTCTTACATTACACCTTGATTTTGGTCTTTTGACATGATTAATTAGAATAGACTTTGTGAAGAAAAATATTCCTATACTCATTAGACTCTCATTACACTTGCATATTTAAATAAAATTAGCTATTTTAGGTCTGAATTTAAAGTTATCATTGTTCCAATAAGAAATATAAAATTTCTTTGTGTACATAGCTTTGTTTACTAATAAATAGTACTGTCTTTTGTAAGATATGTTTTAAAATTTAGGTAATTTATTTTTATTACTAGTTTTCTTTAGTATATAGTTCTGCTTTGTCACATAGGAAGTACCCAAAGAAATTGTTTCTATAAACCACATACTGCTTCCCAACTCTGTCTGTAATGTAACTATCAAGAAAACTATTTCTCTTAAGTAAGGGGGTAGAAAATATAAATGTGGTACAAGTTAAATTTTTAAGTTTAAGTAGAGCTGCAAGCTGGAATTGATACTTAAGACAAATGACTTCTTTTTTAAAATAAAAGACTGCACACAAGTATGAAGTCTATTTCAGAAATGTAACACATGAAAGTGTAGAAATAACAGTAGCATAAAGGAATGAAGGTGATATATGATAGACATAGAGTAAAGGGAATGAGTGAATGAAATGACCAGTGAGGAATCATCATGAATCATTTTGGGGAACACCTAGGGTGAGTGTATTGTAGTATCTCAAATACGATTTATGGGACTCATCATTCTTTTTGTTCCATCTTTCTCTCATCTGTTCTCTGCAAGTGATTTGGTATTGTAGGCACTTGATCTATGTATTTGCATGGCATATACTTTTTTTTTAATACCAAAGGAAATTCTTTATTGTAAACAAGATATAAAATACAATAAAAGAAATAGTATGCAAATTGTAAATCACATGGATTTTTTTTATTATTAAAAGAAACCTCTTTTTGTTTTCCAAGCATCCAAGTTTGGATGTCAGAAATCTAGGCCCAATATAGAGAAAAATGTTAAATGAGAAAATACAGGGATATTTTTCAGTATATATTTTAAACTATTTTTATTTTAACATTGTGTATATCATTCACTATACAACAGAATATGACAGGAACACTGTTAACAAAAGTGAATGTTTTAGTAATTTTTCTCCCTATCTATCGTATTTTGCTGTGTATAATGCACACTTTTTTGCCCAGATTTTGGAGGGAAAAATAAGGATGTGCATTATACATGGGTATAATGACTACATGCCATGGGTGTAATAATGGGTATAAGAATCATGTATATAATGCACACAAAATCATGGGCGCACATTATAGATGGCAAAATATGGTAGTTGCACATACACCTGCCCCCCAAAAACCTCCTATAAATTAGCAGGAAAATATTTGTCCATTTCTGAATAATGATTATTAACATTGCATGGGATATACTTACACTAAAAAAATTATTTTGGATTCATATTTAAATAAACATCCTGTAATTTTTTTTTTAATCTGACGACCTTAAGCAAGACAGATGATTTGGCCCTGCCATCTATTTTTAATTTAGTTAAATACCTGAAAAATCTAAGACAGATTTTAAATATTTCTCTACTTTTTCACCCTCAAAGTGAAATTTTTATTGAACACTTATTTTTTTGTTCATTTTTTATTCCATTTGCCCCACGGCAATGGACTCTGTAGCAGTAGAATCTCTATTGCCAAAATCTTTTACAACTTTTAGTTACCTTGTGAGGCAGACATCAGTCAAATACTCACCTGAAAATTTCCTTCCTTGGAGTCTCATGACCCAGTTGAGAATCAGCCTGATGTATTGGAATAAACCTGGACCTTAGTGTATAATGGACCTGAATTGTTTCTTTTCCTACTTCTGCCACTCTGATAGAAAAATGGGAGTAACTACTGCAGAGGCTTGTGAGGAACAAATGTGATAATGTATGCCCATAAGTGTTAGTTTTGTTTTGTAGTAGAGCAGTTTTGGGACTCAGACAGAAACTACTAGAGATCCTTGGAACTTACTATTTAAGTATCCTGATGATTCTAGAATTTTGTGAAACTACAAAACCAGTATTAATTGACAAGATCAAATGCTAGAAAGAAAATGTATCTTTCAAGAATGCCCATTTACTTTTAAGCAATTTGAAATGGTTTTGTGTACGTTTAAACTAGGGGAGTAGAATTTGGCAGTGATGTTTGGATTCAGTGTATTTTTTTCTCCTTTGTTCACTTAAATGATAGTAAGCATTCTGAAAGAAAAAAGTAGATCAAAAATTGCTTAGTAGATAGGTCACATGTCCTTTTACCAGATTGATTGATGTAACTTATCCTATATTTGATTTCTTTTGCACCTTCCATGTTTGTCTTTTTCCTTCCTTATGGGAATTGGCTTAAGTTTTCTTTGCCCCTTTGTTACTTACATGAAATTCTAGCTATGTAAGAAATGGTAATGTTAAATTTTTATCATAACTGGGAAGAAACAGGAAAACTGACCTGTGTCGTAAGGTAAAGATTTAGTTGGGTTCCTAGTTTGACAAAAAGAACAGATTTTATTTTCTTTTTCTCCAAAGTGAGGTGATATTTGGAAAAGTATATATTGTTAGCTCTATTTGCTCCTTTAGGTCCCTGTTATCCAGTACTTTTGTGAGGGAGATGTAGTCTGTAGTCAGTTATTCTCAGCTGTGGTGTTGATACATTGGCGTGTTATAATAATTCGTGTGCTGTATTTTGAGGAATATTTTTAATGATAGTTAAAATATTAACTTTGTAAAAGACTTTTTTTCAAAAAATTACTTGTTTTTTGGAGAGAGGTGAAGGGAGGGAGAAAGAGAAACATCAATGTGTGGGAGAAACATCAATTGGTTACCTCTTGCATGCCCCCAGCTGGGTGCCTGGCCCACAAACCCAGACATGGGCCCTGACTGGGAATCGAACTGGTGACCTTTTAGTTCACAGGCTGACACTCAACTCACTGAGCCACACCAGCCAGGGCCCATTTACTTTTTAAATAAATCAGAGTAATTAA